AAAGATTGAGTTTTTTGGATGTTAGAAGAAGCCTTTTGGCTTACCTTAGTATTTCCAGGGAATTCAGGTAATCGGATTCTCTTTTTATACTCTTTTCTCGCAGTAGCCCCACCATAATGGGTATGTTCTTGATTACACTGTTCAACAAATTTTTATTTTTTGCCAGTTTTTGAAACAAAAGGATCCATTTCTTAATGAATTTCACATTCTGAGTTCAAATATAACAATGAAATTTGTCAATTGGCTCTAGTTTTTCTGTAAACGGAAAGTTTTCTACTATAGGCGTAATGACTACATAATGCACAATAATTATATAGATAGATGTCTTTCCACAAATATAAAGCAAGTGATATTGACTACATAACAAAGCCTAAATGGCATAATATATTGCATAGGATTACCAAGAAAAATTATAGCCATAAGCTAAGTTGAATCATTTTAATACTTAGGATTCTCACTAGTTTTGTCTTCAGTTTGTGTCGGTTTTGCTTCTCTTGGCTTTTCTCTTGTATTTGAGGAAAGGGCAATCTCTTACAACTGCACGTGACTACACGCTTCAGGTTCTTCCTCACTTGACTCAACCACGAAGGATTCTGGTGCTTTAGGAATTGGTAGCCCCTCTCCATGAGGAACTGGACGTATTGCCGATGGAATATTTGGATAGTGCACAGATAACTTTTTCTTCTTATTTAGCCCTTTTACAATTGGAGGCACCATACAAAAGTAACAATTACTAACATGATCTGTTGGCTCTCTCCAAATCATTGGCACAGCGAAAGGCATAGATGCCTTTTTTCCATTCAACCATTGCTCCAGTGCCGTCCCACAAGAATTGCAGCATATATGTGGTGCCCAGCTCTTGTCCTGGTCTCCTATCTTGCAGCCAAAATACAAGTTGTAGGCTTTCTTAATCATTCCTGTTATCCTCCTTTTTTGTGAGATAAAAGTTATTTCACCGCAGATATAGCAGAAATTATCTGCTTTATTCACACAAGTTCGAGGCATTACTGAGTAGCCTATATAAGCATAAAACGAAATGTAAAGACGCTGTCGAACTACAATCAGCTACAGATACTGCAGCTTTTATGCAGTGAAGTGATGCAATTAAAGGCTAATATTGCATCATCTCAGTATACATGCAATTTTCTATTGGTCACCAGTATCAATTGCGCAATATGCAGCTGAAGTTGCATCATAATTTTGAATGGCTTACGTCATTAGATGGGTGAATATATCATGGAAACTAGAGCCAATCAACATTTTTTAGGGTCATTTTCGTTTTCAGCACCCCAAAATTATGTAAGATTAGCTAATTTTATGCCCAAAACTTTTTACCTGTTGAACAGTGTTATCGTCTCAACACATTTTTATTTTTATATGCTAGTAAATGCGGCAATCAGTGACTTAGAGTGGGCCTGTGGCGGGCATTCAGACACTGGGGGGGCTGACTTGGTATCACGTACATGTACTGTGAGCGGGCAGCAGGTGCAGGCACGGCAACATGACCGTTTCAGGCTTAATTCTGGGTTTACATGCCCCCTCCTGACCTGTGCAGTGATTGGACACAGCGCACGTTTGTCAGCAGGTTTCAGCCAATGATTTTGCCTGAAACCAGCTGATTGGCTGTGTCCAATCACGGCACAGAGTTCTATGTTTACAAACACAGAACACTGCATACAACAAACTAGCAATTTTTCTTCTCCCTGAAAAGCAGGGATAAAGGAAACGGCCAGATCTGTGAGTAAAAGCAACACACATTACACTTGTTAAGCAAACTGCTAACCGCTTCCCAGGTAGTGTCATTTACACAGTGTACAGGATTTTATCCGATTCCTGTCTTGGTGTCACTAGCAATGTCTGTGTCCTTCCCAACCTGTGTCTGTTGGCACCAGATTACCCATCGCGCTATTACAGTCTCACTATAAGTCGCTGATCACCACCTTTACCAACATAGAATATTTTAGCTGCATCAATTCTAGTATATATACTATCGTTTATAGATGCTGTAACTTTCACACGATCCAGTTATTATACATTTATTGAGATTTTTTTTTTTTAAAGCAGTTGCCCTCTGCCCTGTAGCAGAAATACTGCTGCAGGGCTGTGTAAAATTGTGTGTGTACCGCCCTACCCATGCTGCTGTTGGTGGCTACAGGTGTCAATCATCATGTCCTACTCTGCAATGGTCTGGGAAAGCCGACGGGAGAGATCTGTGTAAACAACACGGGTCTCTCTCCTGTCAGCATGGAGATGCTGCTTTGTATCTCTCTGCACAGCAGAGATACAAAACAGCATGCCTCCCTAGTAAAACACAGCACACAACAAAATGCACAGATCGCACCAGATGTTAACCTCTTATTGCCCAGTGTCGGTGCTTTTTATTAGCACTGATCACTGTATTATTGTCACTGGGGATGTGACACCAAGTGTCCGAATGCCCACTGCAGGCTCGCTCTAAGTCGCTGATCGCTGCTATTACTAGCATATAAAAATGTGTGTGTGTTAGGTCCATATATATTTGGACACAGGCACAATTTTCATACTTTTAGCTCTGTATGCCACCAGAATAAATTAAAGCAAAACCATCCAAATGAATTTTGAAGAGCAGACTTTCAGCTTTAATTCAAGGGGTTGAGCATAAATATCGAGTACAAATTTTAGGAACTAAAGCCATTTTTATACAGTCCTTCCATTTTCAGGGGTTCAAATGTAATTGGACAAAATATAATCCTAAATAAAATGTTAATTTTAATTTGTTGAGAATCCTTTACTGGCAATGACTGCCTGAAGTCTGGAACCCATGGACATGACCAAGGACTGGGTATCCTCCTTTCTGATGCTTTGCCAGGCTCTACCTACAGCTGTTTTCAGTTGTTTTTGGGTCTTTCTGCCTTTAGTTTTGCCTTCAGCAAGTGAAATGCATGCTCAATTGGGTTGAGATCAGGTGACTGACTCGGACATTGCAGAATATTCCACTTCTTTTCCTTCAAAAGCTCCTGGGTTGCTTTTGCAGTGTGTTTTGGATCATTGTCCATCTGTACTGTGAAGCGCCATCCAATCAACTTTGCTGCATTTGGCTGAATCTGGGCTGACAGTATATCTGTAAACAATGCAGAATTCATCCGGCTGCTTCTGTCTTCTGTCACATCAATAAACACCAATGACCCAGTGCCACTGGAAGCCATGCATGCCCATGCCATCACACTGCCTCCACCATGTTTTACAGATGACGTTGTGTGCTTTGGATCATGAGCTGTTCCAAGCCTTCTCCACACTTTCTTCTTCCCGTCATTCTGGTACAGATTAATAGGTTTAATCCGTCCAAAAATGCTTTTCCAGAACTGGTCTGGCTTTTTTTGGGCAAAGTCTAATCTGGTTTTTCTATTCTTCAGGCTTATGAATGGTTTGCACCTTGTGGTGAACCCTCTCTTTGCTCTCGTGAAGTCTTCTCTTGATTGTAGACTTTGACAATGATACGCCCCTACTCCTGGAGAGTGTCCTTCACTTGTCTGGATGTTGTGAATGGGTTTTTCTTTACCATAGAGAGGATCCTGTGATCATCCACCACTGTTGTCCTCCATGGACGTCCATGTCTTTTTATGTTGCTGAGCTCACCAGTGCGTTCTTCTTTCCTCAGAATGTACCAAACTTGATTTGGACACTCCTAATGTTGCTGCGATCTCTCTGATGGATTTGTTTTGTTTTTGAAGCCTTACAATTGCCTGCTTCACTTCCATGGACGGCTCCTTTGAACGCATGATGTATGTTCACAGCAATAGATTCCAAATGCAAATCCCACACTTAGAATCAACTCCAGACCTTTTACCTGCTTAATTGATTAAGAAATAACGGAGTAGCCCACACCTGGCCATGAAACAGCTTTTTGTTCAATTGCCCAATTACTGTTGTTCCCTTGAAAAATGGGGGGATGGCTGCTCTTGAAGCTGTAATTCCTAAACCCTTTCTCCAATTTGGATGTACATACCCTCAAATTAAACCTGAGAGTGCACTTTCAGCCCATATCCATTATAGAACTATAGCTTGGATATGTTTTGGTAAATGCCTGGGACAAAAGTGTGTATTAATCTACCTCCATTTGTAGACTCTCTAACTTTAATGTAAACCAATTTAATTTACACATTTTGATTTCCTTTTTTTTTTATTTTTTTCAGCAAAGACGTAGCAGAACACATTTTTCTCCTACATTTATGATGAAATTAGAATTTTTTTTTTTCAATTGGATATGTTGTAGAGCAAAAAAGTAAAAATATAATTTTTTTTTTCTAAATTGTTTGGTCTTTTTTTGTTTATAGCACAAAAAAATAAAAACTCGCAGAGGTGATCAAATGCCACCAAAAGAAAGCTCTGTGGACATGCATTTTGGCCTAACTTCATGGAGAAATTTTCTTTTTGCTTTTATTGGATATGTTTAAAAAAATCCTATTTATTTTTGGACCCGACGCATAAGAAACCCAGTGGTGATCAAATACCAAAGAGCTCTTTATGTGAAAAAAAAAAATGATACATTTCCTTGGGGTACAGCGTTGCATGACTGCGCAATTGCCAATTAATGTAGCGCACTGCTGAATAGCAACAAAAAATGCCCTGGTCGTGAAAGAGGTAAAACCTTCTAGAGATCAAGTGGTCAAGTAAATTTCTTTCTATACCCCATAGTGAGGACTTGGATTTATATCTTCAGAGTGTGACTTTGTTTTTTGGACACTAGTATATCACGTGGAAAGTTTTGACATTGCATTTATTCTCATTGATTTGTTATTTTTGTGATTGTTTTATTTAGTCTAGTATTTTTGTTTTGGCAATAGAGTGAGCATATTGAGGTTTATTATTCAAGTGGTTAAGTAAATTTCTATCTATAGCCCAGCAGGTTTGGTGGTTTAGGCAGCAGTACAAGCTAGTATTTGTTCTGTTTATTTACTTTTTAGAGCTTTATTTATGTTTAGCTTTCCTGACTTTTTTTTTTTTTTTTTTTCTTTTAGAATATGGTATCCAGTTTCCGAGTGTCAGAACTCCAAGTATTGTTGGGCTTTGCTGGACGCAACAAAAGCGGTCGCAAGCATGATCTTCTCATGAGGGCCCTTCACTTGCTGAAGAACGGATGCAGTCCTGCTGTTCAGATAAAAATCAAGGAGCTGTACAGGAGGAGATTCCCTCGGACATTAGACAGTGTACCAGGCCTGTCCTCCATCAGATCCAATGTCTTTAACTTGGACAGTAACTCTTCAGTGGACTCTGATCTGGCCGTTGCTGGCATCCACTCGTTACCGTCAACCTCTGTAATGCCTCACTCTCCTGCGTCTCCACTAGGAATGGTACTCCTGCAGGACACCAAACCTCAGTTTGACATCCAGCAGCTCTCGCCTCCGATTCCTCCTGTTCACCCAGATGTTCATCTCAAAAGTCTTCCATTTTATGATGTTCTTGATGTCCTTATCAAGCCCACCAGCTTAGGTAAGTGGGGGAAATATTCTGGCTTCCATGTAGCTAGCAAGGAATTCATTGACCTCATCAGGTGGTGTGGTGTGTGTGTTTTTTGATGCATTTCAAAAGCAGATCAGCAAAATCTCCCTCTAGGTCAGTGGTTCTCAACCTTCCTAATGCCGCGACCCTTTAATACAGTTCCTCATGTTGTGGTGACCCCCAACCATAAAATTATTTACCCAGTAATTATAATTCATGAGTGTCGTTTTACCTCCATATACTGCTTTGCTTTTAACACAGTAGCTGCTTTTAACACAGTAGCTGCTTTTAACACAGTAGCTGCTTTTAACACAGTAGCTGCTTTTTAACACAGTAGCTGCTTTTAACACAGTAGCTGCTTTTAACACAGTAGCTGCTTTTAACACAGTTGCTTTTAACACAGTAGCTGCTTTTAAACACAGTTGCTTTTAACACAGTAGCTGCTTTTAACACAGTAGCTGCTTTTAACACAGTAGCTGCTTTTAACACACTAGCTGCTTTTAAACACACTAGCTGCTTTTAACACACTAGCTGCTTTTAAACACACTAGCTGCTTTTAACACACTAGCTGCTTTCAACACATCGGAAATATGTGTTTTCTGATGGTCTTAGGGGACCCCTGTGAAAGGGTCGTTCGACCCACAGGTTTGAGAACCACTGCTCTAGGTGGATGAGTTTACACATGGCAGTTCCATTGACGTCCTCCCATTCTTGGCGCGCATAGATCGGCGGTGATCTGTGTCCCTTAGACATAGCGCATCACCGATCAGGGTAAAGAGCCAGTGACGTTGGTTCTTTTCCATGTGATCAGCTTTGTCCAATCACAGCTGATCACATGCAAACAAATCCTGATTATCAGTGCAGCCCTCTCGGGCTTGTAGCGCACATCAGTGAAGAAGAAAAATTACTTATTTGCAACATTTTATAACAGAAACCTAAGAGAACGTGTGTGGGTTTTTTTTTTTTTTTTTTTTTTTAAATTTTGGTCTTTTTTTGTTTAGGAAAAAAAACCGTAGTGCTCAAATACTGCCAAAAGAGAGCTCTGTGTGGGGGAAAAAAAAAAGACAAATACTTCAATTGGGTACAGTGTTGCAATTGTCATTCAAAATGCAACAGCACTGAAAGCTGAAAATTGGCCTGGGCAGGAAGGGAGGTGAAATTGTCCGGTTTTTTTGAAGTGGTTAACAAAGTGGTTTCAGTAGACCTGAGTCAGAACCCTGTGTCTTGTCTTCTCCACCCCAGAGAGAGACTCATTGAGAAATACAAAGCATCTCTCTATCCACATGCTGAACACAGCAAAATCATGCATCCCCATCCTCTGTAAACAACCACCCACCAGATCCCAATGGTTCTTTACAATTTAATATTTTACATATGGACAACCTCACTTGTACCCTCCATAAAACAGAGGAAAATTCACATTGTCCTGGAAGCCTTGGCAGTACTTCAAAACCAAGGCCCCCTACCTAAAAAAAAATTATGGATCGAACATCCAGCCCCCACCTTATTATTATTATTATTATTATTATTACTACGAGTTTATAAGCGCCAAAGGGTTTGCTCAGCGCTGTACAATAGGGGGGGACAATACATGGCACAGTACAACAAAGACAGACAGCGTACGAGGGGTAAGAGGGCCCTACTCTTACGAGCTTACAATCTAGGAGGGAGGGGGGGTGGTACAGTAGGAAGTGGCTGGGGGGGATGAAGTGGTAGGAGGAATGAGGGAGGATGGCCGTTAGGTGAGGGTGGGGTAGGCTTCCCTGAAGAGATGGGTTTTTTTGAGGGAGCTCCCCTGAATGTGAATAGAGAAGGCGACAGTCCTGATGGATTGGGGCAGTGAGTTCCAGAGGATGGGGGAGGACCTGGAGAAGTCCTGCAGACTCTTAAAGAACACCTTAAAGTGTTTCTAAACCCACAACCGTAAAATCAGTCTGTTATACAGTAAAGCATGCTTGTTATACTCACTGTGGTACCTAAAGGGTTAATCATCTGTTAAAACACTTTGATCCTTTCTTCTCTGATCCTCCCCTTCTTCCATTGTCCCCCTCTTATCTCCTGGTAAGACATAGTGTGGAGTCACTCTGCACATGCTCAGTTTGGTGTGTATAGTTTAGAGGTGGTTGTGTTCTTTCCCCCTTACCCTTTTTCCCCCTTACCCTTTCCCCCTTACCCTGACAGAGGTCAGGGGTTCTGCATCCTCCTACAGCAAAATGAAAACTCCTACAAGCTTATATGGAGGGAAGGACTGGGCAATCAGCAGTGTTTTTTGATTGCTTGGTTCTCCCTGCAAAGGTGGCAGGGGACAGATGCAGCATTGGATCAGTGTGTGTGTTTAAAGTCCATACTTCTCTTTTAATACTTGTTTTAGAGTTGGACAAATGCAGATTGATCCGATTTTTTGTGTTTTTCAGTCCAGAACAGCCTGCAACGATTTCAGGAGAAATTCTTCATCTTTGCTCTGACCCCTCAACAAGTGCGAGAGATCTGTATCTCCAGGTAAATCCAACCACATTCTGGAAAATTGTGCTTTTATTTTGGATCCAGATTACGTTTTTTCCATGTTTTGAAATTTGTATATAATATTGTTAAGCATGCTTATGGTGTGTTGAAATATTAGGATGTATAAAAGTAATGCAGGCCATAGACTGGTCCAAAACTGGCCGTTTTTAAAAAAAAAAAAAAAAAAAAAAACCAAAAAAAAAAAACGGTCGTTCAATAGGCCGACGTTACCACCAATGGTAAAAAAAAATCGGCTGATTTTTGTCCCATCTACGGCCGGCATTTAATTACTTCTGTCCCTTGTGGAGAGCTCCGCTATTATATTTGACATGAAAAAGTATTGCGGTTGCAACAATGTATCCATTTTGGATACAGATGTTTTTTTATTCGGATGCAAATAGATACGTTGTTGCAACCGCAATACTTTTTCATGTCAAATATATTAGCGGACTGGAATTCTTTTTTTCTTTTTCCCCCTCTTCTTCTTTTTCCCCCTTCTTTTTCAGGTCACAGCTCATGCGCAGATTTTTTTTATCGGTAAAACGATCGGCCGATTTGCCCATCATTGCTGGGAAAATCGGCCCAAACGGCTGATTCTTTTCCAACTTTACCGATTTAAAAAAAAAAAAAAATTGTGCCAAAACCCCGAAAAACGGCCAACAAATTTGGTTGAAAATTTTTTTTTTTTTTTTTTTTTTTACACTTATTCTGGCAAGTTTTTGAAGGGTTGAGTTAATTAGTTGATTCTCCTTGACTGGCACTCTCCCCCTTGTCTGATAACACTGAATTTGCAGACTTAGGGGGTCAACCGACATGCTATCCTATCAATGTTATTTTTTGGTACCTCTATCTGCCTGGATATACTCATGTATTTGTTGCCTCTTATAGTGAGCTTTCTTATCCTCTAATCTCTCTTCCCAGGCAATGATGTACTGGCCATCTCCCTGGCTGCTTTTTCCTGGGTTACTACTGTGTTTTCCTACGGCCTATGAGATCCCAGAGGCCTTGCTTTGCCTCCAGATAAAACAAAAAATACCTTTGTTTTAAAGTGGAACTATAGGCAAAAATTTTTTTTTTTTTTTTTTTGATCAAGCAAGGGTGGGGTTATAACCCCTGCAGATATCTTTTCACCATATATTTCCCATTAGATATTTCCCTTCTTTTCTTGTCCCATAGCCAAACAGGAAGTAAGAGGAAATTCCTGTAAATTAAGGGAATTCCTTGGGGAGACAGAACTAGTGCTTCTATTGGAAGATTTCTTCTAATACTTCTCAGGATTTACTTTCTTTCAGTTTCAGTGATGATGGTAAGCAGGACAAATGGGAAGGATGAATCTACCTTACAGGGGCATAGACAGCAATAAAATCTGACAAGTGTTCTAATCCCTCTCTACTCTGTCCATAACGAAAAGAAAAGTTTTTTTTTTTTTTTTTTTTTTATATTTTAGGGACAAATTTCCTTCCAATAAGATGTCCATCTATACCAGGGGTGGGCAAACTTTTTGACTTGAGGGCTGCAATGGGTTCATATATTGGACCCAGGGGCCGGACCCATAGTAATTCATCCCCCCTATAGTAATTCATTCCCCATATTGTGTCAATTCACTTACCTTTGCTCCGCGCGTTCCTCTCGCCGTGTTCCCGCGCCGTTCCGGTCTTCAGGGCGGACTGTGAGAGGAGCCTAGCTCCCCTCACGTTCGTCACACTGCCCCGCCTACATCCTGACAGCCAATGTTTGCCACGCTCCGCGGGCCGGATTAAAAGGTCCGCCGGGCCGTAGTTTGCCCATTGCTGATCTATACTGATCTATACCATTTTTAAAAATGCCTGTGCCCTATTGTCTTGAACCTCCTTGTCTTCCAACCGATCACTTTTCATTGCAGTTAGCGGTTTTCTGATCTTTAGCATATTGAGATCTATCACTTGTCCATCCTTTTTTGCTTTTCCTCTTCTGGCAGATGAGCAGGGATTCAATCCATCTATCAGCAGACTGATGGATTTTTCACATGCGACTACTGATGGCAGCTATAGTCGCTAGCAATAATAATCTGCTGACAGCCAGGAAGGTTCCCTGCGAGCTTTTTAAAGCACTATGAACACCAGTCAAAGCACCTCTCGCTAAATGAAATGGCTATATTACAGTCCCACGCTTCAAAAATGATACCCTCTTGTCTGTTTCTTCTTTCTTCAGCGCTCCTCCATAGCCCCCATACACGTTTATCAGCACTCCCTAACTGCACACAAGCTTTTTAAGTGCTACTAAACCCACAACAGTACAATCACTTTGTAGATGCAGTAAAGCATGCTTGTTATACTCACTGTGGAACCTAATCCTCTGTATTGTGTAAAATTGCTGTTTGATCCTGACTTTTCTGATCCTCCCCTTCTTCCAGTGTTCCCCTCTTATCTCCTGATAAGACATAGCGTGTGGAGTCACTCTGCACATGCTTAATTTGGCGTGTATTGCTAGTGTTTTTTTTTTTTTTTTTTTAATTTTTATTTCTTGGGAGAGTGCATGTGATTAGCACTGTCCAGAAAAGAGGTCAGGAGTTCTGCATCCTCCTAGAGCAGGGGGCTCCAAACGATGCCCCTCCTGCTGTTGAAGTACTAAAAGTCCCATCATGCCTCAGAGTCTTGCCTTTGGCTGTCAGTCTTGCAAGGCCTCATGGAACTTGCAGTTCCTCAGCACCTGGAAGGCCATAGTTTGGAAACCCCTGTGCTAGCGCAAAACGAAAACGCCTACAAGCTTTAACCAGTGCTTGCTTGACACTGATAGAAGTCACAAGACTGCTATATACTGCTGATAGGAAAAGGTGTTTAGCAGTTTATATTTATTAAAATAATTGTATTTCAGTGTTCTGTGTACTGTGGGAGACCAGATAATTTCAGGGTCCGGGGGGAGCGGATATAGTGAACGCGGGGTCCGGGGTTTAATAATACATTGGCTTTGCTATTAAATTTTTCACTTCCCCTTTCGAAAACATAGCAACTTGCACAGGGCATTTTCCAAGCTTCCTTTAAAGTTTCAAAAAAGGCATCATAGAAGCATCAAAAACATATCCAAAAAGTATGTTGAAGTGGTAGGTGTTTTAGTGCGTGTTAAAGTCGAAGCAAGTGTGACCAGGCCTCTCAAGCGCTTACCACTTCAACATGCTTTTTGATGCTTCTGTAATGCGTTAATGACTCTTGGCAGATGCCATGTGTGTTTTTGATTTTTTTTTTTTTTTTTTTTTTTTTTTTTAAAGGAGCTCAGTAGTACCCCTAACTCTAATACCCCCAGCTCATTAGTACTCCCGTTCAGCCGATCCCTGGCTCAGTAGTATCCCCCAGTTCTGCTAATTCTCTGGTTTTCTTGATCCTACTCTCTATCCAGTCCCTTTCACTATATTGCTCCCATACTGCGCACCACATGTGATATCTGCTAGTTTTCTCCTGCCCTGGTCCCCTAGCTTTGCTGATTCTTCACCACTCAGTCCTTTCTCTGTCCAGTCCCTGCTGCCATGCTGCTCATTACGTGTGACATCTACTGGGCCAGATGTAATGTCTGCACCAGACACTCCAAGCGCATATACACGTAAAAAACGGAAGTGACTGCTGTCTTTCTGGTTTTTCCTTGTTTTCCCAGTGCATCCTGGGATATCCAAAGCAAATCTAACTGAATAAAAGCCCCTCGAATGCTGCAGATGCAGTTACCGAGCTTTGTCATAGACTTCTATGGAGGCTCTTTGAAGCACCAGGAAAGTGCTATTAACTTTTCACCACATGTCAGTAACAACCCGTGCGAGCCATACATACAAAGAAACCCAAACAAATAAGTTTAGAAAGTTTTTGGTGTAATAAAATGGAATGACACAGGGAAAAATTATTGAACACATGAAGAAAGGGAGGTGCAAAAATGCATGGAAAGCCAAGACACCAGCTGACATCTCAGTAATTCGAAAGTAATCCTGCCCTTTGTCAGTACAAATTAATATCCGCTGGTTCTGTCAACTGATGGCCTATAAAAAGGTGTCTCATTGCCAAGATGTCACAGAAGAAACCTCTCATGATGGGTAAAAGCAAAGGGCTCTCAAGACCTTTGCAACTTAACTGTTGCAAAACATACTGATGGCATTGGTTACAGGAGGATTTCTAAACTTCTGAATTTCCGGTGAGCACTGTTGGGGCCATAATCTGGAAGTGGAAAGAACATAATTTCACCTTTTAAACTGGCCACGACCAGGTGCTCCTCGCAAGATTTCTGAAAGAGGAGTGTCAGATGTCTGAGAGCTAAGGACCACCTGTGGTGAGATTCAGAAAGACCTGGAATGAGCGGCTACAATTTTTTTTAAAGAAAACAATAAGTAATGCACTCAACCGTTCTGGCCTGTATGCACGCTCACCACGCAAGACTCCACTGCTGAAGAAAGCGTGTTGAAGCTCGTTTAACGTTTGCTGCAGAACATTTAGACAAGCCTGTGAAATACTGAGAGAATATAGTCTGGTCAGACGAGACCAAAATTGAATTCTTTGGTTGCCATAATGCCAGCATACGGTGCTGGCCAACTTCATTTCTTTGAAGGAAGGATGAATGGAACAATGTAGCAAGACATTCTTGATAAAAATCTGCTGCCATCTACCAGGATGATGTAGATGAAATGAGGGCGGACATTTCAGCAAGGCCATGATCTCAAACACAAAGCCGAGGAAGTTCTCAATTGGTTTCAGAGAGAGAAAATAAAGAATGGCCCAGCCAATCGCCTGACTTGAATCCAATAGAAAATCTCTGGAAAGAACTAAAGATCAGAGTTCACAGAAGGTCCACGAAACCTTCAAGATGTGAAGATTGTGTGGAAGAATGGACCAAAATCATACCTGAGCAATGCATGCGACTAGTTTCTCCATACAGGAGGCATCTTGAAGCTGTCATTACCAACAAAGGATTTTGTACAAAGTATTAAATACATTTTCAGTTAGTGTGTTCAATACTTTTTCCCTGCGTCATTCCATTTTATTACACATATTCATTTCTGAACTTATTTGTTTTGGTTTCTTTGTATGTATGGATTACATGGGTTGTTGCTGACATGGTGAAAATGAATAGCGCCTTTAGAAACCTATTTACCTAGAAAAATGGTGACGCGTTCAATTCTTACTTTACCTGCTGCATAGTTATATTTGACTTAATTGAAATTCATGATATTAATTAAAATGATTTTTTTAAAAATACAATCCAGTAATGTAAAATACGTTTCTATTGAACGTAACAAACATTGAACAGAAAATAGAATGAAATAATATATATAAAATTTAAAAAACTTAAAGGGGTTTTTGCAATGGGAGGCAATTTTGCATGGAAGTGAATTGATCCTTATCGGCATCACCTTTTTTATTATTTTTCTGGCAAAATGCGGATAACCCTATTTTTCAGCCGTTCATTTTCGGCTGCTGATATATCGGGCATTACAAGAAAGAATACAAACAAGAGGGCACAAAGGCGTAGTGTGTTACCAGTGAACACTTTATTATTTATTATTATTATACAGTATTTAGCGCCAAAGGGTATGCTCAGCGCTGTACAGTAGCAAGGGGGACAGAACATGAGACAAGACAGTAACAATACAATACACGAGGGGTTCGAGGGCCCTGCTCTTTCGAGCTTACAATCTAGGAGGGAGGGGAAGGTGGTACAGGAGGAGATGGCTGTGGGGGGATGGAGTGGTGGGAGGAGTGGAGGAGGTTGTTAGGTGAGGTCGGATGTTAGGTGAGCTTGGGGTAGGCTTCCCTGAAGAAGAGGGTTTTCAGGGTGTACCTGAAGGTGAGGAGGGTAGGTGACAGTCTGATGGATTGGGGTAGGGAGTTCCAGAGGATGGGGGAAGTCCTGGATAAGTCCTGCAATCGGTTGTGGGAGGAGGAGACCAGGGAGCTAGAGAGCAGGAGGTCCTGTGAGGAGCGGAGGGCACAGGTAGGGTAGTATCTGGGTATACTTTATAATAAACCCTTCAGTGCCACAGAGCAACCAGTTGTTTAGCTCTAGGTGACAAGTGCTGTTCATGCAGTGGCCCCTCCTTGTTCAGGGTGAACCTACTTCATATAGATCCTGTGGTGTCATTTTTAGCCTACCTAATAGGTGATGTGACATGGAGATGATCTTTGCTCCGAGGAAGATGGCTTGTCCCTTGAAATGCGCCAGTGTGCAAGTCTGAGTGATGCCTAGTTCTTGGTGATATATCTCCGCATCTTGACCTCCTTGTCACTTGGATTCTTTATATACAAAGCTAATGGTCTGTGGAATTATGAGACTTTGTTTGTGTTTTGGTTTTAAGAAACTAATTTCATCAGGTAATGTATTAGGCCTTGTGCCCTCTTTGTGCTCTTTCATGGTTGAGATCCGTCTATAGATGGGGTAAACCGCCTGCTTCCCCTGTGTTTAAAGTGGCTCAGATGAATAGTTGAGAGACAGATTTTGTCATTTATACATATTTTGCCATTTAAAACAATCTTCCTCCATATGTGAAATCTCTGCTCTTTTGTCTGGTATATCCACAGGGATTATATGCCTGGAGGAAGGCGAGACTATTCAGTGCAAGTCCAGCTGAGGTACAGTCTCATTTCAACTGTAGATGTTGTTGTGTTTGTTGTTTTTTTTTTTTTTTTTTTTCTTCATAGGAATAGTCAGTAATGATGATTCTTCTCTCTGCCACAAACAGGTTGTGCTTGGCAGAGACTAGCTGTCCTCAGGAGGACAACTTTCCCAGCAGTCTCTGCATTAAGGTCAATGGAAAACTATTTCCTTTGCCGGTGAGTTTATAAGATCTTTTAAAAAGCACTTTTATTACTTTGCATGTCAACCAACACTAGAAGCAGTTTTATGGAAAGCATAAATTCTTTACAAGAGTTTAACTGTTCTACGGTAATGGCATGCGAGATGCTGTGGACAGAGATTATGTAAAAACATTTTTTTTATTTGGGGGGGGGGGGGGGGATTTATTGTGCAGAAGTGGAGAGAAGGGACTAAGAGCCTGTCACCAGCTTTGGGAAAAAAAAAAAACACCGGTAAAAGCACAAAATCAAGTATTTTTATCCACTTCCTTACCGGGCAATTTTACCCCCTTCCTGCCCAGGCCATTTTTCAGGTCTCAGCGCTCTCACACTTTGCACAGCCCTTTCCCTCCCAGGATGCCATAACCCTCCCCTTTTTTTTATTTTATTTTTTTTTTTTTTTTTTGGCAATGTTCAATTACTCTGCACTGGCCCAGCTCTTCTACCCCTCTCCTCCCTTTTATGTAGCTGGAAGGATCAGAAGGAAATGCTATACAGTGTCACTTGCGTATCGGCTTTGAGTCTTCAGGAGCTGCTGACATCACATTCAAAATGGTGGTGCCCATCGGCAGTCTTGGCATGTATGTATAAAAATTGAGTGGACATATAGGCCTATAGGGAGATTTTTATTGAAATGGTCTGGTTACAGGGTATCTGCAAAGGAATGGTTCATTGTTAGGCCCCATGTACACGGGACACTTTTAAACGATGGAGACTGACTGCTGGTAAACGTAGGTAAAAAAATCTGTTTAGCCACGTTTACATAACGAGTTTATGTACATTTGCATTTAGAAGCGTTTTTAAAGCTAAGCACAGGAGAACCTCCCAAATGCCCAGAATGCACTGAAAAGTGGTAAATTAACTATTTCAGACTGTTTCAGAGAAATACAGAGAGTAGAAGCAGAGACAGCAGTATGTGTTGAGATTAGCTTAGGTGTGAGTTGCTCATTAACATTTCTTTTGTTTCCAAGGGTGGGAAAGGTGTCTGGTGGAGGGAGTCATTAAGGCCACCTGGCAGGGGGTCTTCATGAGGAATTTGAGGTGTGAATGGTCATTAACATATCTTTTGTTTCCAAGGGTGGGAGGTCTGATGTGTGAATTGGTCATTACAATGTCTGACAAGCTTGGTAGGAACATCCTGTGTTCAGTGTTTTGTCCATCTGAGCACCTTGAAAACTCTTTGCATGCATTTTTCATGATGAAAAAAGGTTCTGGACAGCAACGGGAACTGGAATAGTTGAAGAAAAATTTCAAATGCAAACGCTTATAAACACGATTTTCGAGCGTTTTGCTGTTGAAACGCTGATAAAATCGACGTCTGAACGCAAGTTTGCGGCGTTCAGAAAACCGACTGTAAACTCAACTGCCTGTAAACGAAGATGTGTACATGGACACATAGGAAAACATTAGGGAGAGTTCAGGGGCTGCTGAAAAAACCGCTGAACAGCTCCTAAACGTGAGTTTAGGTTCAGCTGCAGTGTACATGAGCCCTCAGAGGGCTTCTATTTATCTCCTCCTGGGGGAAAAAAAATAGTTGCCTGACGTCAGTACTGTAGGTCACTGAACTGGAAGAGATACAGTATTTAGATTTTCTTGTGTTTCAAGTTAAAAGCTACATGGTTATATAGCTAAAAGTTATCAATTGAAACTGTTTGCTGTAATTCATGCCCTTCTTCTGGGTCTCTTGTAGGGATGTGCGCCACCACCCAAAAATGGCGTTGAACAAAAACGACCTGGCCGCCCACTAAACATCACATCTCTGGTTCGACTGTCATCTGCTGTGCCCAACCAGGTCTCCATCTCCTGGGCTTCTGAAATCGGAAAGGTGGGTGAGTTTATCGCCCTCTATTCCAGTGTGTATAGCTTTAGAGCACAAGGATAATCTTTAATTACCGATCTTAAGTTTTTTTTTTTTTGTTCCTCTCAGTCCAGCACATTTGAGTCTGTGTCCTGTATTTTTCAGAACTACTCGATGTCTGTGTATTTGGTGAGACAGCTGACATCTGCAGTGCTGTTACAGAAACTGAAGATGAAAGGCATCAGAAATCCGGACCATTCTAGAGCACTGAGTAGGTGTATGATGCATTGTTTGAAAATCCAGACTCGCTGCGGCTCCGATCATTGTTTTTAAACCTTGGGCCATTTTTATCTATTTTTATGGCACCACATTATACTTCATGTAGTAATACCTATAAAGAATGCAGATCTGAATATAATCAATCCACTCTTTGTACAGAGGATATATAGCTCTTTAAATTGACACACAGTACACTCTAAACCAGAGGTATCCCAACTTTTTTGCCTTCCTGGGCCACATTGGAAGAAGGGGAATCGCCTTGGGTCACACATAAAATACATTAACAATAAGGATAGTTGATGAACAGAAAGTCGAGCAGATCACAAGTTAATGATCGCTGATATAGATGCACCTATCTGAGTAATGAAACCTAATTTTTTTTTTTTAATTATAAAAGTAAGAGGGCAACATAAACTAGTGCGATGTTTGATAAACTAACGCATTAATATCTGGTCGATGGATGTAGTAGCCATTTTCAATAAATTCTCAAGGTGCTCATCAGATATTTTGGTTTTATTTTTTCCCCTTTCTGTTCTTCATCCTTGAAGATAGTTGCTCATAAATAGAGATGCTGATAAAAATTGATACATGAAGTAGGCGTGATTGTGGAGTGTGGGAGATTTTTCTATGGGAAGATAAAGCTTATAAAAACTCCAGTAAAGAGACACTGCCAACACATGCAGCCAAAAAAAAGCACTTGACAAAGTGTAAGTGCATTTCACAAAAAAAAAAAAAAAAATCAACATTAAGTTTATAATTTGTGTTGGGCCACGCATTGGACACCCCTGCTATAAACTGATATTTGAGTTAAAAGTGGATACTGGTAAGCTGAATCGCCTGTCTCATCTCTTGAATCAACTTCGATTTCCCTGCTGCAGGTTTTAACTGTCTTTTTCCATAATCTAAAATAACTGCAAGTTCTAAAATATGGAATAGGCTTTAACCGCTTGCCGACCGCTCTATAGCAGTGAAAGGAAGGGAACATAGTAAAGAAAAGAGAGGTGTGTGTGTGTGTTGGGGGGGGTTGCATAACATTGTAAGGCTAGGTTCACACTACTGCAGTGCGGTACATCGCTTGTGATTCGCACAGGAACAGCACCACATTCCTGTACAAATCGCATGCGATTTATGTGCGGTGCGATTGGAGCCATACATTTTGTATGGCTCTAATTGCGCCCTCACCAAAAATGTGCAGGACCCTTTTGTGGGTCCGCACTAGAATCTGATCGCATGGGTATTCACACCTATGCGATCTGATTCTGCATATCGCACTGTGTTTTGCGGACCCATTTCAGGGTGGTAACATACACACCCGCAGCGGTTCGCATGAGCCAGGTGCAGTTCTGATGCAGTGCAGAATTTTTGCACAGAAAGCACTGTGAATTCCGCACCATATCACTGTGAACCCAGCCTCAACCAGAACCCTCAAGATGCGGGGGTAGCGGTTACTGTATCGTGTGATCATAGTCTCCAGGACGTCAATTGTTTATAGTCATCCTTAACATGTCTACCAGTAGAACCAAGTGGAAGTAAATGTAGACTGTTTGCTCTTCTATATATATGCTCTGCTTGTCCGTTCACACAGTGGCTCGGTCTCTCGCCCATTCTCTCTCCCCATTGGCTCACTGCCTGTGATTGGCAGCAGGAGTCAATAGTTCCCGCTGCTGTCAAGGGCCAATGAGGAGGGATAGTCCCTTGAGAGACGAGGATCGTGATGGGGCTCAGGTGAGTATTGGCGTGGGGGGGGGGGGGGTTGCTGCACAGAAGGTTTTTTTTTTTTTTTTTTTTTTTTTAACGTAATGCATAAAGGTAAAAAACCTTGAGCCTTTACAACCACTGTAAAGTGTTACTAAACCCACAACAGTACAATCAGTCTGTAGATGCAGTAAAGCATTCTTGTTATACTCACTGTGGAACCTAAGGGGTTAATCCTCTGCATTGTGTAAAAATGCTGTTTGATCCTGTCTTCACTGATCCTCCCCTTTTTCCAGTGTTCCCCTCTTAATCTCCTGATAAGCCATTGTGTGGAGTCACTCCTGCACATGCTTTGTTTTGTGTATTGCTAGAGAGGTTTATTTTCTTGGGAAGAGTGGCCCTGTGCTGATCACATGCAATCAGCACTGTCCAAACAGAGGTCAGGGGTTCTGTATCCTCCTAGAGCAGAAAGAAAACTCTTACAAGCTTTAAAACCAGTTATCTGCTGAACATTGATAGATGTCACAAGACTGCTCTAACTGCTGATGAGAAAAGGTATTTAGCAGTTTATATTTACTAAAATAATTGCATTTCCATGTTCTGTGTACTGTGGGAGACCAATATAGTGAATGCAGGGTCCGGGGAGACCAGATATAGTGAATGCGGGGTCCGGGGGGAGCGGATATAGTGAATGCGGGTCCGGGGAGAGCGGATATAGTGAATGCGGGGTCCGGGGAGACCGGATATAGTGAATGCAGGGTCCAGGGAGAGAGGATATAGTGAATGCGGGGTCCGGGAGACCAGATATAGTGAATGCGGGGTCCGGGGAGAGCGGATATAGTGAATGCGCGGGGTCCGGGGAGAGCGGATATAGTGAATGCGGGGTCCGGGGAGAGCGGATATAGTGAATGCGGGGTCCGGGGAGAGCGGATATAGTGAATGCGGGGGTCCGGGGAGAGCGGATATAGTGAATGCGTGGGTCCGGGGAGAGCGGATATAGTGAATGCGGGTCCGGGGAGAGCGGATATAGTGAATGCGGGGTCCGGGGAGAGCGGATATAGTGAATGCGGGGTCCGGGGAGAGCGGATATAGTGAATGCGGGGTCCGGGAGAGCGGATATAGTGAATGCGCGGGGTCCGGGGAGAGCGGATATAGTGAATGCGGGGTCCGGGGAGAGCGGATATAGTGAATGCGGGGTCCGGGGAGAGCGGATATAGTGAATGCAGGGTCCGGGGAGAGCGGATATAGTGAATGCGGGGTCCGGGGAGAGCGGATATAGTGAATGCGGGTCCGGAGAGGGATATAGTGAATGCGAGTCCGGGGTTTAGTAACACTTTAGGAAAGTATGGATAAGACAAAGATACACTTAATGTAAATTGTGAGGGCTTTCGGATTGAACAGAATTGCAGGGTTTCCTCATCTTCCCATTTCCTGCTAGAGGTTTTTCTCTAAGATAGTTTGTTTGGTGCACACACAATTTATGGCTAGGTTTTACTAATGGAAAAAGTAACAATTCATGTAGGGCAAACTTTGATGCGACTTAAGTGCCAGAGAGTGTAAAGTCGCATCAAAGTTGAACTGCATAAACAGAACTGTTATACTTTCCTATTAGCAAAAAAAAGTTGCATCGAAGTTTCATCAAAGTCCGCACACATCCGAAGTCACATCAAAGTCTATATTTCCTATTTGCAAAAAAAAAAAACGCAAAATGCATCATTTTGAGTTTTTGGTGCTGGTCCATTGAAGTCTATTACATGCAAAACTCAGTTTGCTGCAGGGAAAAAAGTCCCTGACCTTTTTTCCAAAAAACACACCAGCTCAAAACAGATGAGAACTAGATCCTTGGGGAACGTTAAATCGATGTTAAATGGTGTGTTTTTCTGCAAGCTGGAAAACACACTGAAATCCACATAAGTGTGAACCGAGGGTAAATCGAAGTTGTACTTCTGAGCTGTCTGCTGGCAGGATGTGTGCGTCGTGTGTTGTGAACCAGATTTGCTTTTCCTTACTGATTTGCAATGCTTGCTTTTGTGTTCAGTAAAGGAGAAGCTGACTGCAGATCCGGACAGTGAGATTGCCACCACCAGCCTGCGTGTCTCATTGATGTGCCCTGTAAGTACGGCTTTGTAGTAAGTACAACTTTTTATTACATTTATCTTTTCCTTTTTTTTTTTTTTTCGCCATTTAGAACATTGTTTATTCAGGCAAGTCTTTTTTTTTTTTTTTTTTGTTGTGTATTCCTAATGCGCTGAAAAAGACATTAATTTACCATCTGTGTTGACTATACAGAATAAGACTGTTTTCTTATTGGCCGTGGAAACCATAGTTGGACCAGTCTGTATATTCAGGCACTCAGTCCTATTGCTGCATGGTATTTTTGTAGTTTTTTTTTTTTTTTTTTTTTTTTTCCCCTCTTCTAAAGTCGTCATTTTGGGAAAAATCAAAGCAAAAGTCCACAATTGTCTGTCAGTCCCTCAGAGCTTTAAAATGCTTGATGGCACCTCATTCAGACAATGTGACTGTGTGCCTCCTTGATAACTCACCAGCAAGGTATTCTTACCACTCCACACTGCTTTGTCACCTTTTTGGTGTCTAAGCTTACCCTGGAGGATGGGGTCCTACCCATATGGTGGTATAAGGTCTAATGATCGGCCACACAAGCCAGAACACAGTCACATGGGGCAGGTTGCATGCTCCCACAATACTGTTCACCATGATACAATGTCTACCTTTTTATGATCCATGTGATCTTGATCTTAATAAATACAATTTGCATTCACTAATTCAGTGACTCCACGTAGGATTTGTACTATACCACTTTTATGGCAGGTCTGCTCTTGTCAGCTGATCATTTCTATTTACATGCACCCACATACCTGGAAGGCCCACTCCAAACGAGTTAGGACTTTGACTGTGCAGAGGGGTGGCAACATTGTGTAGGGTTAGTGTAAAGTTACTATACCAAGCTGAGTGGGGGTAGGCTGGGGTTTTGGGAGGCTCTGTCAATCCAGTGTGAGGTTTTTTTTTTTTTTTTTGTTTTGTGTATTTTTTTTTTTTTTTTTTTCTTGTCCTGCGGTTCAATTTTGTTAATGCATGAGATGTTTAGAACAGTCTCCCTGACATCTGATGTGACCTCCACAATCAGGGTCGGTCCTACCATTAGGCAAACTGGGCAGCCGCCTAGGGCGCACTGCCGCGTAGGGCAGAGCCACGGCTGCTGGTTTACCTATACTGAGCCATGGCCAGATCTACGGGGGTGCTTGGATGGGCTACAACCCCCAGATTTCAGTTGTGTCCACCCAGGTAAGTCTTTCTATAGACGCAGTGCCTGGCATTTGAGTTCCTTCTCTCATCCCCCGCACTCACGGCTGGGACAAGGAGAGCAGCCTGTAATGGTGAAGCCTGCAAAGGAGAAAAGGCAGGAGGTGCGGGCTGTGTTCTCCTCTCCTGTCAGTGGTGTGATCCTCCATAAAGCAGATAACACAGGATTGCTCTTACATTGGCATATTCAGTGTTTGATTCATTCCCTGGCTTCCTGCTGCTGAGAGAAGCAGTCATTGGAGGAGATACGAGACTCTGTAATCAGACTGTGTACAGCCCGATCCAAGAGCAATCCTGTGTCATGTGCTATATGGAGGATCGCTTCACTGACAGGAGTGAGCACAGCACAACCCGCACCTCTACCTAGTGTCCTGCCTGTAAGTTGGGGGAGGCTGAGGGAACTGTACACAATAAAAGGAGGAGTAACAATCATTGTGCTAAGAAGAGAGGTTTGTGCAGGAAGGGGGCCATTTCTCTGGGAAGTGTAATTGGGATGATGAATGGGGGGGTTTGTGCTAGAAAGAATGGGGGGATATGTGCTAGGAGTAGGAGGCAGGTTTGGGGGGGAACTTGTGCTAAAGGGGGGTGGGGGTTGCGTAAGGTGGGAGGATTTTATACTAGGAAGGTTCACTTGCAGGGTTTTTAGTTAGAGTAGGGATTTGGGGGAATTTGTCCTAGGTAAGGGGATTGTATGAAGAGGAATGGTGCTGGGGAGAGGGGGATTGGGGGAATTTGTGCTAGGAGAGGGGATTGGTGGGGAATTTGTATTAGAGTGGGGGTGATGGCAGGCAGGGGGAATTTGTGCTAGGAGAGGGGACTGGGGAGGTTGTGCTAGGTGAGACGATTGGGGGGGGGGGGGCGGGGGTGGTGGTGCTTGGAGAGGGGGTTGGGGGGGGGGGTTGTGCTAGGGGGGGGGGGGATGGATTTGTGCTAGGTGGGGGGGGATTGTGCTAGGAAGGAGAATTTGGGAGGGGTTGTGCATTGGGGGGGGGGAACTTATGCTTATATTTTTTGGGGGGATGGGGGCGCAAGTAGCTGGTCTTTCCTAGGGTGTAAAATAGTATGGCACCAGCCCTGTGCACAATACACATGGTTTCAGCGAAAGAAGTGTGACTGTTTCGTTTGGAAGTTGCTGTGAGTTTGGCTTTTTCATAGGGGTTGGTGTTGCATTTCTTTTTGCTGCGGTCGTTTGAATTCTGTATTTTCTGTGTCTTGTATAAAATTCTTCTGATAGTAATCTGATAATCCTAATCTCTTCTGTGTTGCCCCACAGCCAATAATCCTATTCCAACCTTGGACAGAAATTGAATGAAAGTTTAATTTTAAATTGTTGGTATTTGGGCAACACAAAACCGTTAAGAAAAATGAAATAGATCTCTAAAGCTGGACTCCTACTAGTTCAATTTTGGTTTGATCTTCATATCAAAATTAACCAATATTAGGATGTGTCTAGCCTGCATAATTGAATGAAAGTTGATTGGATGGTTTGAGTAATGGTTAATTTTAAAAGAAAAAAAAAAAAAGTAAAAAAAAATTCAGTTAAACTTGACAAAGTCAGTACTTCTCCAGGACTTCCCCCATCCTCTGGAACTCCCTATTCCAATCCATCAGACTGTCGCCTACCCTCCTCACCTTTAGGCGCACCCTGAAAACCCATCTCTTCAGGGAAGCCTACCCCACCTAACAGCCGTTCTCCTCCACTCCTCCTACCACTCCATCCCCCACAGCCACTTCCTCCTGTACCTCTACCCCCTCCCGCCTAGATTGTAAGCTGGAAAGAGCAGGGCCCTTCGAACGTCTCGTGTAGTGTATTGTCTCATGTACTGTCCCCCTACTATTGTACAGCGCTGAGCAAACCCTTTGGCGCTATATAAATACTGTATAATAATAGTTTGTCTATTGATATAAAAAAAGATGATGCAGTCCTGTTTGTTGCGTGGGTGGGGTGTCAGAAGTCTGAACATTGGAGGGGAGCACATCTAGATAGCTGAACACGCTGTGCTCATGCCTAGTGTGGTCAGTTTTAATAGGAAAGCGGAGGGACTGGCAGCAACACTAGGGATTTCATACAAGGGAAGCAATACAAAGAGAACAGGATACTATCATACAAGTACATGGTACAGCAGGCACATATCAGGAATATGAATGTTGGGTTTACATATTCTTCACATGTGATGCCTAAGGGGTTTATAAGTAAGATGGACCAGATACCGGTCCAAGACCTTCATTCTCCAACAGTGATTTTCTAGTGACTGATTGGCTACTTATAATTCCGAACGTTATTAAAAGGTGGTTTCAGTGTTATTTTAATGATTGTACATTTTAATTCAAATGTGAGACTAATTAGAAATTGGAGCAGAATTTAGGAATTTGCTTCTAGGGAAGAGAAAATAGAAAAAAAAAATTACCTACAGTAACCAGATTTTTCTCTCTGCTCCACTTTATGCAAGTTTCCCCCTGGGGCAAATTTAAACACAGTGGCACATAATTGTAAAGTGGAAGGAAAATTATACATTTTTTTTTTTACCAATAAATATGTATGAAAAGTGTGGCATGCATTTGTATTTAGCCCCCTTTACTCTGAGACCCCTAACTAAAATCTAGTGGAACCAATTGCCTTCAGAAGTCATCTAATTAGTAAATAGTCCACCTGTGTGTCATGTAATCTCTGTATAAATACAGATGTTCTGTGAAGCCCTCAGAGGTCTGTTAGAGAACATTAGTGAACAAACAGCATCATGAAGGCCAAGGATGGTCATGAGGATCCCATCTGTCCATGTCTGTTTGATTTATTTTAACCGCTTCCCCGACCGCCCTATAGCAGAAATTCTGCTACGGGCGGCATGGGTGCTCACAGTGTGTGAGTGTGTGTGAGTGTGTGTGAGTGTGTGTGAGTGTGTGTGTGTGTGAGTGTGTGTGAGTGTGTGTGAGTGTGTGTGAGTGTGTGTGAGTGTGTGTGTGAGGTTGTGTGTGTGTGTGATTTTGCATTTCCGGGTAGGGGCGCGAGCCCTACCCGTGCCGCCATTCACGGCCACGGTTGTCAACCACCGGACCCCACCCAGTAATTACCTGCCAGGCGCCCTGTGATTAACCAGCATCTCAGATGGGAAGGAAAACTGTTTTGTTTAGTGTTCCTCCCTGTCAGTTCATCCTGATCAGTGTGCTTACAGTGACGCACATACCCCCGCCACCCCAGTAAAACACTCGCTTCATATTCATATAGTTAACCTTTGATCACCTCATGTTAACCCATTCCTGCCCAGTGTCATTAATACAGTGTCAGTGCTTTTTTTTTTATTTTTTTTTTTTTTAATTGTAGCACTGATTACTGTATTGGTGTCACTGGGGTATGTCAGTGACACAAAGTTATTCTCCCGCAGTGTCAGATTGTCCTCCACAATCCCGCTAAAAGTCGCTGATCGCCGCCATTACTAGTAGAAAAATAAATAAATCCCGGTATCTATACCACCATTTGTAAACGCTATAACTTATTTACGTAAACCAAATAATTTACATGTGTTGGTTTTTTTTTTTTTTTGTTTTTTTTTTGTTAGCAAAGACATGTTATGGAATACATTTTGGCCTACATTTATGACGAAATTTGATATTTTAAAAATTTTTTTACTAGACCTGTTTAATAGCAAATGTTTTTTCTTTTTCCACAAAATTGTCGTGTTTTTTTTTTTTTTTATAGCGCAAAAAATAACTGCACAGGCAAATGCCACTGAAAGAAAGCTTTGTTCGTGGAAAAAAGATGTAAATTTCATTTGAGTACAGCGTTGCATGATCGCGCAATTGTCAGTTAAAGTAATGCAGCGCCGTAACGCAAAAAATGGCCTGGTTAGGAAGGGGGGGTATATCCTTAGGAGGGCAAGGGGTTAATGTCTCATCCATTGAGGCACACAGGAAGTCTTTAACCATAGTGTTACACCTACGGGAGGATTGGACAAGGCCAAAAAAAAATAAACTAGACCAGCTCAGGATAGCCCTCGCTAGCAGCTCTGCTTCTGTAATGCCTAACCTAGTAATATTTTGCTGTTGTGGTTTTTTTTTTTTTTTTTTTTTTTTTAAATTTCTGGAGAAGTCCTCCTCAGCCTGGATTGTGAAGTATTGCATCTGAACCCCGCTAACCTCATTTACTGGGTGGTGTCACACTCAATCTGTTCTTTCCTGCCATACAGCATTGCAGAATCCTTGATCCATTACTGCGATCTGCTTATAGTAACTGGTCACCTCCAGCTATCCGACCCTCACCTGCCTTACATTGTACCGTGAGCCTATACATTTCCTTACAGCATTTCGGCCACAAAGTGTCCAGTTTTACACACAGAGGACAATGTTGCTGTACTGGGTGCCCCATCTTTTCTACGAACTAGTGCCGTAAGGTGTGGCTGGGTCCTCCTACCTTTTTGGCTAAGGTCTTTATGACAGTTGTGCAAGACTTTGTACCAAATTATTCAGTTACTTGCGGACTCAGATCAGAGGCTACAAATCCATTTTTTTTTTTCTACCTCTCCAGCAGATTATTTATCTGATTTTACTCTTTATCTTAGTGGCCCCTGAGCCATTTGCTGCAGAAACCCTGAGTAATTGAGTTTCTCAAATCCTTCACTAATCCTTCACTAACTGAACTGAGGCGTTGCAGTCTTCATCTATTACACTTAAAGTAAAGGAGACCATTTCAACTCTTATTGAGACAGCAAGCATTACTCTGAAGTTAGAGGTGCAGACTGTTTCTTCTACTAGTATTGTTTCTAGGGAAACTTTCCTTTTAAAACCTGGTTGCTGGAACTGACTCCTCACTTTGGGTCAGGTTCTGGACACATCTCAGGCCGCCTGACTCCGCTTCTGTATGAGACTTTACTGATAGCCTCCTTTAATGGTTGAACTGGATGGACTTTTGTCTTTTTTCTGCCAGACTAACTATGTAACAGGCAGTGCCCTTCACCCAATTCCACTCTGTCTGCAATGCAACATTCTTTTGTCTTGGGACAAGTCATTCCTGATTCTGTATAGGCTGATTTGGTGATACCAAGCTGTCCGGTTGTTGAGTCCTGAGCAGGCAGAGTGGCTGATTTCCTCTTCAGAACTTCATTCCGTCCTTGTCAGCCATATAGATTACAGGTATACATCGTTGGCAGGCAGATTTTGTCACCTGGCAGAGCCTGGACCCATGAGTGTAGTCTGTACACCCAGTGCTGCTCCAGGACCTGGCTTGGGTGGGGGACACTGGATGTTCAACAATATATCCAGCTACAGGGATCCCCTGGCCAAAGCAGTGGGATGCTCTGGTGGCTGCATTGGAATTGGTACACACTGATCTATACCTCTTCTTCCTGGTCTGAGATGAAGGGCAATCTGGCAATTCTCATTGCTCTGAATTGGCCCAAGTGAATGTTGTATTCCAGCCTGGTAATATTTCTGGCAGTTGCTTCATGAGCAGTGCTAGATCAGGATCTTCTGTCCCAAGTGCTGTTTTGCCATTCAGCTTCATGGTTGCTTGCCTCTTGCAGTCTGTGATCCTTACCAAGCCTAAAGCTAGAAAGTCTACTTCCACAAGGCTTGGACGTGGAAGAATTCCCTCAATTGGTATCAGATTCGGGAGGGCTTCCAGCCCAGGAACTTCCCCATGGGATATATCCTGTCCTTCTTGCAGCAGGGTTTGGACCACCGTTTAGCTCTTGGCACGTGTCAGGGGTCTGCCCTATCCACCGTTGACCATTTGGTCTCTCACTCCTTAATGAAGACCATGTGAACAGGCAGTTTTCTATGCTGCTCTTTTCATTTGCCATTCACTTCACTGTTTAGAATCTTGCTCTGTGTTTCAGTAATCTTTGTTTAAATCCATTCGAAAGATTCCTCTCCACTTTCACACACACAGTGGTTTTCCTTGTAGCCACCACTTCTGTGATGCAAGAGTCTGAACACTTTTTGGTTTTGTATAGGGCAAGGTGGTGTTGAGGCCCAGGACTTCTTGGCTAAGGTACTTTTTGTTCACAAATATCAACCCTGTGCTTGTGTGTGTATATATTGCCATTGAGCCACAGCTCATATGCATGTATGTGTTGTGTGTCCAAAACTCCTATAGGAGGTAGTAGTCCCGTTATATTGTAAAGCACTGAGCAAACTGTTGCCGCTATATCAATCCTGTATAATAGTAGAGGGGAGAGTACAAAAAAAATTTTTTCCTGGGTCTCATGCAACCATTCATAACTCCTGTCAAAAGCTTCTCTGCTGGGATGGAGTTTTTATTTTTTTTGTTTGGTGTATTTATTTCTTAATGAGTGTTTGTGGTTGTTTTTCTGCTCTCCAGCTTGGAAAGATGAGACTAACACTTCCTTGCCGAGCGGTCACCTGTACCCACCTACAGTGCTTTGATGCTGCCCTCTACCTGCAAATGAATGAGAAGAAGCCCACCTGGATTTGCCCTGTGTGTGATAAGAAAGCCAGCTACGAAAGTCTAATATTAGATGGGTACGTATGTGTGGGTGTGAGCAGGAACACCATACCCATGCTGGAAGTTTTGGCACCAGCCCTCATCTTTAACTCTAGGTTCACACCTGTGCAGGCCGCGTTTTGCATGGGCATGAGAGTCCATTCATTTGAATGGACGCCCGTGACACGCAGAGAAAGGAGTCCATGCACTACTTTGGAAAATGCAGCCCGCACGGGAACCTTGGTTCCCAGTACGGTTGCGTTAACCAGTGCGAGGAAAATAAAAAAAAAAACAGCATTTTTACTTGCACACGATTGGATGAAAGAAATCAGAACTTCACCTCATTATGGGGCTTCCCCTCGGATCTAAAAAGCCACGGCACAGCCTATTTACCTTTACCCCCGGTTCACACCTATGTGGCCGTGCGGGTCGTGTTTTGCACGGGCACGTGAGCCCATTCATTTGAATGGACTCCCGTGCCCGTGACACAGGGAAGAAGTCCCTGCACTTCTTTGGAAAACACAGCCTGCACGGGAACCTCGGTTCCCAGTATGGCTGCGTTTTTCAGTGTGGACTGCGTGCCATTAGAACTAATGGCACTCGCCCGCGGGTCCGCATTTCCCTGTGCGGGTGGTGCTGCTGCGCAGAATTTTGTGCGGATCCACAGCAGCACCACCCGCACAGATGTGAATCGGGGGTCAAAGAGAAGCTTTTTACAACAAGCAGATGTACTAGAGATGTAATGTACATATGTACGTCCTCAGTCAGATGAAGGAACCTCTACATTTTTAGATATTTTGTATTTTATACATGTAAATATAAGCTATATAATATGAGCAATCTTTATAATACCTGCTTATGGTTTATAAACCTTTTCTATGTAGATGTCAACATTGAAGTTTAGGATTGCTGCAAAATAAAACTGGGTACAATGTAAACACCTTATCGTACTATTCTATGTTTCACTGTAAAGAGCAGCAGGTTGGAAATTTCCCATAGACACAGTGGGTAATCCAGGCATAACCGCCTAGATATGAATACATTGGGTGAAATGAGTAGGATTTTTACAAAACAAATACAACCTTTCTGATCTCGGTGTATTGCCATTTCACAGGCTTTTCATGGAGATTCTAAACCATTGCTCAGATGTGGATGAGATTCAGTTTCAGGAGGACGGATCTTGGTGCCCCATGAGACCAAAGAAAGAGCCGCTGACCTCCCCAAGCTCTCAGTATCCACCCCTTGAAGGTAAAGGCTGTCTCTGAAGCTATCATCACAATGCAGGGGCCGAGATTCTTTGTGAGGCCATAATGCACATGTGTCCAGATGAAGAGTCCATCCAATATTCTTTATGATGACCCAACGCTTGCAATGTCCGGTGGTAAAACGAGCAAGCGGCTAAGTGCAGAGCTGAAAGCGATTTGTGCAAGTCCCCTTTCCAGAAGAACCAGCCCACACAGTGTGTATGGATCATTCTTCCTCTTCCTGATGGCAGTATGGCTTTCTTTTGCACATACCCTTTTTTTCCGCCTATCTTCATCTCACATGCTTGATTTCTTGTGTTTTCTGTTCAGAGTGCACTATAATTACACCTAGGTTTGTTCATTTTCTGAGAGTTTTGGCACATGCCCTTCAGTCTTGATGTTGCTCTTCTGACGTTTTGACCCAGTCAAACGTATCTAAAGTATATATCTATACTCTGTTTTGTTCATGTTCCCTTTTTTAGGACAATGTACTTAATGTTAATGATTAACAGACTATATACAAACAGCCAGGTGCAAAATATATAGTATAAAAGTGGTGCAGCGCTAAAAAAACCTACTCCTATAAATCTGATATAAATCTGATAAAATGATACAAGTAAAAGTTCATCAATTAGTAAACCGTTCAAAAGTGACTTTAGTGCTCTTTAGCTTCCTGCTTTCCTGGGAAACCGGTGCCTGTGCAGTAATTGAGGATTTGCGCACTCACCGGATGCGCAAATCTAATGCGCCTGTAAGTAAAAAATCCAGATGTCATCAGGACAAGACAGGTAATGGGGTGACTTCCCTCTGAAGGGTAGATGGTCATCAAAGGATCCTGGGGCTTTAATGGTGGTCCACAACAGCCAGAGTTCCCCTTAAGGGGTTAAGTGGCTGCTGCTCCCTGGATGAAAGGTTCCCTCTCTGGATACTGGGATGGATCTCTTCTCTAGCAGGGTATCTGGAAATTAAAACTCCCCCTGGGGGCGCCTCTCATTCGGCAACAGGACGCTGTACGTATTACAGAACGGAATGCTGCACGCTGCATTCAGACCCCCGCCCCCTCACAGGCCTACACACGAGGCTCTCCTGATGCCAGTATGTTTTTCTTTTGCACATACCCTTTTCCACCTATCTTCATCTCTCACGTGCTTGATTTCTTGTTTTTTCTGTTCAGAGTGCACTAGAATTACACCTAGGTTTTGTTCATTTTCTGAGTGTTTTGGCACATGCCCTTGATGTTGCTCTTCTGACGTTTGGACCCAGTCAAACGTAACTAAAGTATATATCTGTACTTGTTTTGTTCATGTTCCCTTTTTTTAGGGCAAAGTACTTAATGTTACTGATTAACAGACTATATACAAACAGCCAGGTGTGACATATAGTTACATGTTAAGCATTTGTGGAGACCCGGATTTATTCTCTTTATGGGGGGCCACCTCAAATGTTCACCGTAGGAAAATGCATGATTTTTAGGTATATTTTAAAAAGTGTCTTAACTAGCTTTGGTAATGATAAATGGTGTATGCTAACAAATATTGACTAGTTTTGTGAAGTGTCAAATGGTATGGTTATCAGGGTTATTTTTCCCATGGCTTTCTGCTTTAGTGTTGTCCCTGTCTCACTTGCAAAAAAAGGAATTTCAGTTCTGTGCAGCCAGTCTTGTTATCCAGACACCCAGGGGTTTATTTACTAAAGCTGGAGAGTCCCAAAATCAGACTCCCTTCTGCATAGAAACCAATCCGCTTCTAACCTCAGCTTGTTCAATGAAGCTTTGGCAATGAAACCTGGAAGCTGATTGGTTTCTATGCAGAAGGGAGTCTGATTTTGGACTCTCCAGCTTTAGTAAATAAACCCCCCAATGTCAGACAGCATTATTTAGCCTTGCCCTTGCAGTCCTCTGTGGTTAACCCTTTGAGGACCAAGGGATGTATTTGTCCCATGTTTTTAATTGCGTGTATCATCTGATTAAGAACTTAAAACTTTTTTTTTTTTTTTTTTTGGTTTGAGTCAAAATATTAGTTATCAACAAACAACAAATGGATCTAGCTTTTTGCCAATTATTTCATGCAATGGCTTAGTTACAGCAACTGAAGTGTACGAACTTTAAAAACAAAAAATTGATTCTTTTGGCGTTCCGAAATCTTACGGTCCTCAAAGGGTTAAGCTGTGCAACTTTGGTTAAGGACCCGCCAGTCTGCTGGTTTAACAATGAAGTTTAACAATTCCTGTGCGAATTACGTGCAAATGTCTGTGCGCTGCGATTTGAGCCATGCATTTGGTATGGCTCAAATTGCATCGCATCTGCACCAAAAAGGTGCAGGACCCTTTTTTTTAAATCCTCACCTCAATTGTATCGCATGGATGTTCTCACCCATGCAATACGATTTCTGGCAATCGTATTTTGCGATCTGTTTCAGGGTGTCTTTAATTTATCGTTGATGCCCGCACCAGATCGCATGCACGTGATGCGATTGCAATGCGGTGCAGGAAACGCACAGGATTCACAGGGTTTCCCACACCGCATTGCTGTGAACCCGGGATGAGTGTTACAAGCAGTTTTTTTTTTTTTTTGGTACTTTTGGAGTGACCTTCTTGATGTCATAAAATGTACTAATGAGAATTTTCATACTAGTGTATGGCCAGCCTTAGGAGGTTTTACTGTCTTGACACTTTTTTTTTAGTTCAGGAGAGATGCTCAGTACTTCCTAAATGCTTTTGTAAATGCATGCTTAGCATGTAAACAGAGGCTGCGTTAAGATTTATTTTTAAATATGTCCAAGATTTTTTGATAATCTAGCATTTTATAAATTACAATGCAATTTAAAAAAATGAGTCCAGTTGATTTTTACTGTCACTGTGGAGATTCTAAAGTAAGTTCACTGGTATTAAAATTGAATTGAAGTTACAAGCAGCTCTCTGCTTTCTCAGGGACTGACCTAATCAATACGATGTACTCAATAATAGAGCCCACCGAGACAAAAAGTAAGAAGAAGGCGGAGGTCATAGACTTAACCATTGAGAGCTCTTCAGAAGATGAGGAGGAACCAGCAGCCAAGAAGAAATGTCTTTACATGCCGGAGACACCTATGCCTCAGACAAAAGGGTAGGCATATATATTGCAATGTATTCTGCAACGCAGGGGTTTAACAAACTTTGCACATGGACACCAACAACAAATGGTGGGAATCTGCAACAGAGTGGCTCTGTATGGGAGTAGTTTCATAATTGTGAATCAGCTTCTGCATGGCTGTGAGGAAAGTGGCAGGGTCTGCATCCCTTTAAACGTATTTTCTCTTTGGGAGTATCTCACCAAAAATGCCATGTTTGTTGCAGGGGATGCTCAAAATCTGACTTGTATCTTATTGCAGACTTCTGGGAAAATCAGTAAGCCAAACACACAAGCAGGAAATGATGTTGCTGGGGGGCGTTCTCTACACCATCTGTGTACAGAACACCTCCAGGTAGCCATATTGCATTTTACAGAAAATCACAGCTCTGCAGATTGAAAAGGAAAGGTAATTTTTAATAATTACAGTATGACTTGTCGCAGTTGTATACGCTATTTTTATTTTATTTTTTTTGCCCATTCCCCCTTACCACAAAAGTGGAGTTACAATTTTTAACCCTTTCACTGCCAGAGCTGCTTTTGCATATTTAGAAATCATTTTAGGCCTGAAGATTACACAAAACCCCCAAGCATTATATATTTTCTGAAAGCAGACACCCCTAGAGAATTAAATGGTGGTCGGTCCAATTTTTTGTCACACAATGTTACCACAAAGGTCTGAGAAATGCAAAATTTCATTAAACGCACTAAAGTGAATTTTGGGGCAATAAGTTACCCAAATGTTTGGTAAAATATAAAAGATGAGGTTGCGTTGAGTAAATTGATACACACCATGTCAGACTACCCAACATACCCACCATTGTGTGTAAAACCCCCAGCTGTTAGGTCCGTACCACATATGGACCTGGCAGCGAAAGGGTTAAGCAGAGTTTAGACTGGTATTCCTGGCATGGCTTGGCTTTGATGGACTTTACACTAGGCAATGCATATAGCTTATGTTGCCTATCCATCATCCTCTTTAGCCCCCATTCACACTTGAGTGTTCATCTACTACTTGTTTACGTACATTCACTGTGCAGAATTACAGTGACATTCATACTCATTTTCCCTGATCACACTTGTATTTTCTGATCCCCCTATGCTGTACACCTTAAGCTGAAAAGTGTATTTTTTTTTTTTTTTTTTTCTTTTTTAAGCTCAAAACAGAGTTTTTTTTTTTTTTTTTTTTTTTTAATTCAGTTCTTTGCGGTTTTCTGTGTTCCACCAACTATATAATACCAGTTTGCCTCAGTTAGAGATTATCATGTAGCATCTTAAACAAACAAAAAAAATGGTTAACTTGTATTCAATTAGTCTGCAGCTTTAGTTTAAAAAATAATTGCGAATTTCCTTTTAAAAGATTGTAAATGTGCTTACTTTGTGTGTTTTATGTGTTTTTTTTGTTTTTTTTTGTTTTGTTTTTTTTTTTTTGTGTTTTTGCATTGAAAGGGTGTTAACATATCATCCGTCAACTATAAGAATGGGCAAAGTTGGTGGACTAGAGACCGATTCGCTGCATTCCTCAATGGTGGAGTATTCAGATCCCTTCCTTCCGCCACCCTGCCATCACTGGGCTCCCTGCAGACCTCTCAGGTATGTGAATTCTTACATTTAATATTTTAAGGTTGAACTTCAGGCAAACACCTAAATATACATTTATGGGCTGGTTTTAAAGATTTCTATTTCTTCAGTTGTCTTAAGGCAGAGGGTCCTTCCACCAGTACAGGAAACGCATCCCCAGACACTGTATTGTAAATCCTTCTTCATTTTTAGTTGTTTTTTCATTGCAGGGAGTCATAGTGCAGGAGGGCCATATCTCTTGTACAATCCTCGCCCTCTCCTGCTTTCCAGGGTGCTGGATCCTTGTCTATTCTTTGCCTCTCAGTTTGTCTTTTACAGACATATTGAGGCTTGGGGTCTGCTCACCTTTCAGTGCAGGCTAGTATTCGCAGATGAATTCTCCCCCATGGTGGACAGGCTTGGTGTGAGTTCTCCTGAGTATGGCGATGGGCTGGACTTGGGATACTTCACTTTAATCCTATGGTTAGTCCAGTGCTGACACTTGGCGGGGGATTTTGCTCCTGATTTGGAATGTGCCAGGCTAATGCCATGTGACCTCCTTCACTTCTGTGTGGGGTAGCAAAATTTCTCTGATGCCTTTTTTCTGCCCAACCAGATGGCGCACCCAGAATGTTCTCTGCAGCAGGTAGTCATCACACATTTCATGTTCCTTGGGGTTTTCAGGGGTGTCAGTTGATTGCATGGTACAGAAAATCCTCTGATTTCACAGGAGTATCTGCCTGTGAAGCCTTCAGTTGCTTTGTGTACGACAGCGGTGCACAGGCAAGTTTTCTTTGTCTGTATCAGGCATTGTGATTCGTGGCTATCACTAATAATGTGCAGGCACTCTTCCATACACATGTGAAAAAAAACAAAGAAAAATTCCCAGCTCACTTACCAGCCAGCCTGCAACAAACTGAATTATCCTGTTTAAGTCATTGGTTTTTGGTTTTAACATGACCTGTTAGTTTGCACACATTTGCAAATCTATGCATAAGCTGTAAGGCCAGATCACAGCCCCGCAGTGTACTACAGTCTTCATTCTATAAATTGAGTCTCCAAAGTTGGAGCACATAGTCTCCTGTCTTTTACAGACATTTTGAGGCTTGGGGTCTGCTCGCATTTCAGTGCAGGCTAGTATTAGCAGATTAATTCTCCCCCATGGTGGAAAGGCTTGGTGTGAGTTCTCCTCAGTATGGCGATAGGCTGGACTTATCACCTAGATTAAAGTGCTAACAAACTCTCCTTTTAATAATTTTACCTACAGGTAAACTTATAATAAAGCTTACCTTCAGGTAAAATTAATATTTCCTAAACGTGAACTGTTTAGGAGATATTGGCACTTATTGATATTCGGCGCATGTGATCTGAAGGAGCGAAATACCTGTGCCGTTCCTTCGGAGAACGTTGCCATGGTCCGGGACTCCCGCGCGCAAGCACAGGAGTGACGTCATCGCGGCTTGGCCAGAGCTCACGAACCTGGAAGGAAGACAGTGAAGATGGAAGCTCCAGGGAGCCATGACAGCGCTCCTCTTGAGGGCTTTGTTTCAAGGTAATGTCCTTCATAATGTGCTATACTAGCACGTTATTCCTTTGCCTTGCGGGGTGTTTTATATTTTTGAGGTTTGCTACCACTTTAAGGGCAGGTATGCCTGGAGGAAACCCATCCCTCCTTAAAGGTTTAGGGACGCACCGGACACCCAGCAATAGCACAATGGCAGCAAAGGTGTCCAGTGCACCCCCTCACCAATTAACCGCCAGTACAAACAAATGGCAACTGCCTCAACCTATAACTGGCCTTTGCAGCAAGGAGCACATGGAAGGGCGACACATGTCAAAAAAAACAAAGAAAAATTCCCAACTCACTTGCCAGCCTGCAACTACCCGTATTTACCCTGTTAACTCCTGTAATATACAGCCTTGGGCTCTTAAGGCTTCTCAGACATAAGCCAGATACCCTGGTGATGGCAGGGCCTGTAATACACAGCCTTGGGCTCTGAAGGCTTCTCGGGACAATAGCCAGATACCCTGGTGATGGCAGGACCAAGAGGAGGGGGAAAGCAGTGCAGGATATTGGGTACAGAAAGCCTCAGACTCCCATGGAAGGTTGGTGGTTGAAGAAACTACAGGGCTGTTCCTGATGAAGGCGTAATTAAGTGCTAGAGGAAGAACCGGATCATGAAGTGTTCATTTCAAACATGTTATTTATGTTTGCTGTCTGAAAAGTGTTCATGACCATGTCTCCCAGACCTTAACTCCCCTGGCGGTTATTCCGAGTGTAGCTCGGGGTAAAGTTTCAGCACCACAAGCGGTAACCCACCCCCCCCCCCCCCCCCCCCCCCCCCCGAGCTACACTCGGGAATACCCTGCAGCGCTGCTCCTGGATTCTTCTTCTCTTACCTTGCCCTGCGCTCCCGCAATGTCCCCCCTGCAATGTCCCCGGCAATGTCCTCCGGGCGATGCCGGCATCTGTCTTCCGGGTTCCGTTTCCTGCAACGTCAGGACGTACGGGGACGGAACGGCGGGAAATTTAAAAATGTGAAAAAGTCACATTCACTAAATACACTAAAATCACATAGTATAACATTCCTGTATCAAACCATTTCACATACATTTTGTCCCGAGTGCTTTGTCCTGCACCCTGCCTGCATTTTTTTACTGTTCTTTCTGCCTGGAAACTGAGATACGTCCATGGCGTCCAAAAAGTGTCCCTTTAGGTCAAAAGTGGTTTTAGACCGGCTAGAGAACAGCGATAGTAAATCAGAACCACTTGCAGAATTGAGTGATAATGATTCGTGGGGGAAATTCCTCATCAGACACAAACGATTTTGCGACTTTGCTCAGCGATGTGCGAACTTGGCGCTATATTTCACATTTTAGTGTTTTTGGTTTGATTTATTATTGAATTAAATTTTTTATTTTTATGATTATTAAATTATAATTTATGATTTCGTTTTTCAAATTTTATCCTACCCGGGATGTTTACTAGATTCTTGTTCGGACAGATTTCATTGAGTTATTCCTAAAAATGACAGGCCTACAATAAAAAAAAATACATATTTCCATGCAAACAAATGTACCGCTTTGAACACAAATACTGACATAATCAGACCGCTAGGGAGGTTACGCAATACGCCTTGGTCTCCGGTTTGCTCCTAGCCCATTACTAGGCAAGGAAGGAAGATCAGCAGCACACTGATGAGTCCGAACTCTGTTTGCTTTTCCTGTTAGGCTGTTCTTGTCGGCACAAGTGATGTCAACAGGTAGAAAGGTAAATCATCAGCTTGGAGCTGAAAGATTGTCATGTGCAGTACAAGAAGACTTTTTAATGAAACATTCTCAGTTTGTGGCTTTTTACTCCGTGAACTAATTTTATGTGAATTTGACAGGTATGCCTTAAGTCATTCATAGGCTAGGTTCACACCTATGCAGTTTGCATTT